TAAAATAAGATTTTGAAGTCTATCACCAAATTGCCTTTCTTACCATAAAATCTTTCTTTACCATATATGTCTTATGATATTAAATTTTTAAAAGCTTGAAGCTCTCATTTATTACGTTTAATTGCTCCCAAGTAGTGAAACGCATTAAGTCCCTGTTTATACGTTACATAACGTTATACGTAAAACAGCGTTAACTGTACAAGATAAAAACATAAATCCAAAGGCTGTTTTATTTATAATTTGAATTATATTTTCTTTAGATCATTTAACATTTTGAAAATGATTTATGCACATACTCATAAAGATCATCTAAGCGTATCATAAAAAATAAGTATCGGGCTCCCATAATGGCAGGCTTTACGGGATTTAAATTATATTGTTTATTTGAAGCTAAGAAGTTTTCTCTTCTGACCAGCACTGTTTCCTTAGACTGACTGTTTTATTTGTAAAAATACAAATGCTAATAGCGTTACTAATATGTACTTTAATCTCTACATGTAAGAATAAAAAAATTACGTTGTGTAGTTCACATGTTCACAACAGTGATCGATTTGGGAGATCTCTCGGGTTTTAAGTTAATAGTTCTTTTGTTTTAATACTACGCCAATAAGGTTAATTTTGAGAAAAACATTTCATTTGGTACATCAAATAAATATACTGTAATGTAAAATTAAAAGCCATATTATATTTATAATGGAACAAGAACAATGGTATGGAGGGACACACGGGCAGAGGAAGGCCGAATAAAAAGATGGATCGATTGTGTGAAGAGTGATATGAGAACGAAAGGAGTAAGTATGGAAATGACGGCTGATAGAGAGGAATGGAACAAGAAGATTTACTGCGCCGACCCCAGATAATGAGAAATGGTTTAGAGAATGATGATTATATTTATAATGTTCAAATGAGATTTATGACAGCTACATAATGCATAATTTTTACATACTTTTTACTACTACATATTTTTTTAATATGATATTGAAATTTTTAGAAGACTGACACACACACACGCACACGCACACGCACACGCACACGCACACGCACACGCACACGCACACGCACACGCACACGCACACGCACACGCACACGCACACGCACACGCACACGCACACGCACACGCACACGCACACGCACACGCACACGCACACGCACACGCACACGCACACGCACACGCACACGCACACGCACACGCACTCGCACACGCACACGCACACGCACACGCACACGCACACGCACACGCACACGCACACGCACACGCACACGCACACGCACACGCACACGCACACGCACACGCAACCACACGACACGCACAACACACACGCACACGCACACGCACACGCACACGCACACGCACACGCACAAGCACACGCACACGCACACGCACACCACCCACACGACACACACGACACGCACACCCAACGCACACGCACACGCACACGCACACGCACATGCACACCGCACACGCACACGCACACGCACACGCACACGCACACGCACACGCGCACGCGCAGCGCACACGCACACGCACACGCACACGCACACGCACACGCACACGCACACGCATACGCCCACACGCACGCATGCTGACGCGCACGTTCGCACTGACACACGCTGTTCGGCTTCGACATATCGAGTGACGTGTAGTTACGTGGTCACTTGGAAGATAAGGCCAATTCGGTCTTTAAAAAGCTAGGCGTGCTCAGCAAAGCGGGACTGTATTTCATGCCGGTGGACCGATTGCAACTGGCACAGATTCGGCCTCACATGGAATAATGTTTCCATCTCCGGGCTGGGACTCTCCAGTGCCAGCTCCTTCCACTTCCAGTGCAGAGCGACTCGAATAGTCGACGATCGAGTGCTTTCCGATCGGCTCGATTCACTGGCACTGTGAAGAGATGTTGAATCTCTTGGAGTATTTTATCACATCTAGCACGGGGAGTTCTCAGCGGAATTGTTCGGATTAATACTAGACGGAAAATTTCATGAACGCACTACGAGGCAAGTCTCCCGATACCATTCACACCATTTGGATTCTTGGCGGTCTACTATTGTACATTTTTTTTATGATTTCCGCCGGAGGGTACACCCCCACCGACGGGAGTATATTGTCAGATTCCACAGATAAGTTTCGCTTTGTTTTAAACATTTTTTTTAATATAACTATTACACGTACGGAGCTGGTTGCGCGTTTCTGCGATTTGATACATAACGCGCTTTCCTTCTCCTCATATTACTACAATTCTCAACAATTTTTTTTTACATATTATACATAGGTGTTGTTCGGAGAAAATAATCGTTTGATTGACATTGACGTTTTGTTATTTATAGACTCGCGCATGCCGCGCACCCCGTTAGACTAAAAACGGGATGACAATAAAATGAAAATAATGAAATGAAATTTAAAATAAAAACTAAAAACAAAAAAATTGTCTTAACTTTAAACTAGAGCTGTTATATAATGTCTCTAGTGTAATGAATTAGTACAATGACGACAAACTGGTTAAATAATCTTATAATATAAAACAAAAGTGGAATAGTGTAGTCTTATCACTAAATACGGACAGAGTACAGAGTAGCATAAAGAGAGTAAACTTAAAGGAAATAAATACACAGAATAATGTTAAATCTAAACACAAAAATGACGAAATAATTTAGTGACAATGAAATTGACAAAGTAAAACATATAAAGTATTCTTATGTCTGTTTAGACATAAGAATACTTTATATGTTTTACAATGTATATACAAATTGTTATTAAGACCGTTAAATTCGAATAAAATAAAATTTAAATGGAATAAACACATAGTATAATCTTAATACTAAACACAATAATAACATTGATATCACAAAATAACATAATAACAATAACAATAAAATGAGTGTAAAATAAATCAAGTGTAATCTTAATTCTAGGCACAAAATAACATGGTATAATGACACAGTCAAGTAGAAAATTTAAAGAAGACTATGAGAAGTCTTTGTTCCATGAGCAACAAAATAAAACAAAATGGTATTCTTACATTACTATGGACAAAATGATATAAAATAAAACTAGAGGTAATCTTATTCCTAAACATAGCCAAATGCTTTGTTAACGATGAGGTAAATTAAGAAATATTAAGAGGATTTTTTTTTATTTTTATTATGAGGGGTAATCTTAGTCCAAAAAAAATTTTTTTTAAAATGACATATGTAATACAATAACTATGAATGATTTTTATTTAAAGATTAGTTTAAAGAAAAGGTACGTAATAACTAGTTGTTTCTATTTACATATGTACAGCTTTTATTAAAGTTTTTGAGGTTTTTAATGATGCTATTAACAAATTGCATGAAGGAATCCAGAAGGGATTCCTTCTTCATTAAGTTAATCAGGTTAAACGGAGAGGTTCTTAAGTTTTCACACCTCATCACATGACTAAGTCTTTGTACTGAAAATGCAGGACAATGCTCTATAAGATGCTCCAGCGTCTGTGGGGTGTAATTGTTGCATGGGCAATAATTATTGTCGGTTATTTTAAAACGGCATAAATAATATTTGTGGAAACCGTGGTCGGTGAGCACCTGGGTGAGGTAAAAACTTGGTTTGGTGAGGGTGCGTAGCCTCTCGATATCCTCCAGTGTCGGAAGCAGTCGTTTGGTATGTTGGTCCCTGTTCTGCGCTATAATACCTAGCTTGCCAGGTTGCACGGTTTTGAGTTCTGATGATTTGCAAGAAAAATTTTGGTGGTTGTGTGGTATGGATGAGAGTGAGTCAGTGTAAATGATTGTGTGCGCATATTTGTGTTCTCTGATCCACCTGCATGCCTGTAAAATGGCAAACAGCTCGGCTTGGAACACTGTGCATGTGTAATGCAGTTTAAATTTTTTGGTGTAGGCTATTTCATCAAGATTTGTTGGAAGATATCCAACAAATGCGGCCCCCACTGCACCATCCACCTGTTTACTTCCATCCGTAAATATACAATGTGTGGTCTGTCCATGTAGAGGTTGAATTGATAGGTAATTTGTATAGGTTCTGTTCGTTAGGGAGATACGTTGGGCGGGATGAAGTAGCTCGGAGACGGGGGGTGGGTTTTTCTAACGGAATATCGCTGGGGATGTGGTCAAAGATACCCCGGAGCCGAGCCCTTTCCACAGCGCAGACTTCTCGGACTTTCAAGTCCAGAGGTACGAATTGGGCTAACGCTAGTTCCGCGGCTGTGGAGACCGTACGGAATCCCCTAATAGCCTTGATGCCAAACCCGCGCTGCATGCTCTCGAGTGCCCTCCTGATGCACCTTTTCAGGGCGACGTGACCCCAAATTCCTGCAGCGAAGGTGATCGTTGGCACGATGACCTGCTGGTAGATGGTGCTGACATTTTCAGGATGGGCTCCCCAAGTGGGTCTCGAGTACATGCAGAGCGTGTTGAAGATCCGCACGGCCCTGTTAACTACGTGTATCACATGTTTGCCGAAATTCAATTTCTCATCGAGGATTACTCCTAAAAGTTTCACCTCTGGAACAAAACAAAGTCGGTATCCGTCGATGTTAATGCTGGCTGTCTTAGCCTTAGGAGTGAAGGCAATGAGCTTAGTCTTGGTAGGGCCGAATGCCAACTTGACGCTTCTTCCCCACTCGACTATGTGATGGAGAGCCAAGTTGGCAGCGCTTTCCAGTTTGCCCACACTCGCGGCCGTAACAACCAGCAGGACATCGTCCGCAAAGGCCTGTATGTGGCAACCCGCTGGAAGCTTGGTGTCGAGTTATTCGTCTAATATTATGTTCCAGAGAACAGGGCCGCACGTGGAGCCTTGGATGCAGCCCTTAGACATCGTCTTGGTGACCCGCCTCCCTGCAAAGTCGAGAATGACCTCCCGATCGCGGACATAATCCTGAATGAGTCCAAAGATGTTGTTAGGACATTGGATATGCCGCAATCGGTGGAAAAGTGCCGGCCACCAAGCGTTGTCAAAGGCTGTTTTTATATCTAAAGATATAGCGATACTTAGTTGCTTATTACTTTTCGCTTGTATATATTATATCGAGCGCAGTGTTTATAGCTTCGCACGTGTTGGTCTGTTCCCGGAAACCGAACTGAAATTTGTTTAACAGATTATTTCGTTGTGCATGGTATGTGACTCTTCTAATGAACAGTTTTTCCAGCAGCTTGCCGAACACAGGTATCAGGCCAATAGGACGAAATGACTCTAATGCGCTGTAGTCAGACTTACCCGGCTTCGGGATAATTTTGACAAAAGCGGTTTTCCACTGGTTAGGGAAGTGTTGGAGTGCAAGACAGCGGTTAAGTATGTCAGTCAAGAGTCTAGGATAGTCTGTCGCAAACTGTAAACATATGTCTGATGTTAAGTTGTCGAGTCCGGGAGCCTTTTTGGGATTCATTTGTCTTAAACACTCCAACACCTCCTCCTGAGTGAAGGGAGGGTCGTAATGGGACTGAGGAGAGTTGGTCATGTCAGATCTTAATTCGTGATGTCGTGGTAAGGTGTCGGGTGAGTCACCCGGGTAAAAGTGGTCCAAAAGTGCCTTAGCAGTCTCCTGGCTATCGGTGGTGTAAGTACCGTCTCTGTTGAGGGTAACTGGTGGGCGCCTAGGGGTGGCAGTTTTGAGTAGCCTATTTGTGAGTGACCAGACATTTTCCTGAGTTTGCAACTCGCAGAACTCGCGAAAATACCTGGTCTACTCATCACGCATTTTGCTAGCGTAAAGTTCCTTTATAGATTTGCGTGCCTCCAAAATCTGGCCCAAAGGCAAACCTTGGCGTTTAGCAGCATGAAGCTGGTGGTGCAAATCCACCACTTCCCGCTTGATGGTCTCCAATTCCTCCGTCCACCAAGAAGCCTTCGGCTTTGTTCCCCGGCCTTTAACATGCATGCTTGCTCGGCATGCAGAGTGGATCACATTAGTGACCTCGGCGATGACCTGATCCAGATCATCAACGTTCAAGATAGAAATGTCCTGTTCAAGTATCTTTGTGAGTGTCATGTGAGTGTGCACTTTGTCCTTAAAAATAGGCCAACAGGCTTTGTTTGATTTGTATAAAAAAGTGGAGTTCTGGTGAGTGTGTGTTGTGTCGGTTGTGTTGAAATCAATGCAGTAGTCTATAGCATTATGCTGGGAAGTTGGGCATATTCCCACGAGATGTATTATGGAGCCAGAAACAAATGTGAGATCGATTATTGAAGAGCGATCTCGCCCGTGGGTGACCTTTTCAAACGTGGGTACGTTGCCAACGTTACATACATACATATCATTGCTTTGTATAATATCTATGATTACTAATCATAGATATTTGTATAATATGTTTACTATGAACCATAGTTTACCACCGAACCAAATATTTAAAGTGCCGAAACGACCTTGGGCAAGAACAAAAAAAAAAAATAAAAAAAATATGAAATAAAAATATTATTATACTTTAACGTGAACACAGTTTATATCAATATAAACAAACGAGTATATATTATATTATATTTTTTCCCAAATAGTTTGAAACTACTGACTTTATTCTTACAGTGAATGTAAAGAAGAATACCTGTAAGTTAGTAAATAAAAGGAAAAGTCAATACAGTGTCTTCTTATGTGTCGAATTGGGAAAGAATTCAATCAATATGTATATTATCTGGTTGCACCAAGACGCATATTTTGTAGACTATATTAGCTGGTAGTATTTTCCTCCCCATCACTTCCGCCTATTTCCTGCACGTGCATGTCTAATAGAAGGCCAGATATTGTGGCATCATTTTGGGTGACCAATAAGACGCGCTGACCGAAAAGTGAAAGGTAGAGAACACGTTACCGGCCAACGAGAGTTGTTGTCGACTTACCGCCGCCGCGCCGAGTAGGTAAAGACCAACGCTAGATGTGATTGCACCTCTGTGGCAGTTGCACCACAGAACAACCTAATAGTGACCGCTTTACATAGTGCAACTAATTGTCCTGCACCATCACAGAGCTACAACGTAGCGCCATCAATCTCAGGCCTGAGTAAAAGGTCGCCAGAAGATTAGCGCCCAAGTAAGTGAATCTGCTTTCTTCCTAGCGTGAGCTGTTCTCAATTGTTCGTCGTACCACTTCTTCCCTACAACAGCTCACGCTCTTACCCTCGCCGGCGGATATAGAAAATTAGGTCCCAGCAAGTGCATTGACAAAAACACGGCCACATGCCACTTTCGCCATCTTGTTTTGGTTATAGAGAACCAATCATACAGTCTACATATAGTAAAATCTAGAATTATAAATTTGACCCGACCCGGACATTGAACCCGGGATCTAAGCTCCACCATTCGCCGGGTCCTTCGAGCAGGATTCGAAGGGGAAGCTTTTGGCCGCACCATTTTCTCTGGTTCATTTGGGTCGGATACGAAGGGCAACATAGTCACCCGAACCATTTAGTCACCATCCGTTTCCGGATTCAAACTCAGGAACCATTAAAATAGTACTAGTTTTTACGGATTTTATCACGTATATTTAACTATAAATACCCGACGTTTCGAGCGTTTTACAGCACCCATGGTCACGGGGGGGACTGAGAAGTTCAACGTCCAGATGTCATAGTTAACTGTTACCATAGATTAAAATTTAACTTTTGTTCCGATCTACACAGTATGCACTTGTGGTATCTTGAAGTCTTGCAGTTGTATGCTTGGGTTAGGATTTAATTTATTTATTATAGGATCCCAAGCAGATGGTAGCACCATTCATTTTTAAGTATGAACAATTTATAAAACTTTAAGTAATAAAGTTTTATAAATTGTTCATAATGTTATAATATAAGTTTTTATGTAATAACAGCCTAGATTGTAACTAACAAATAGCGATCAATTGCGCAATCCGTGAATTCTTCATCAGGTTTCACTTAATATTTTTATTATGTATTTAAATATAAATCGTTTTATAATATAGATAAATATATCAAGTAATTCATTAAGTTTAGGGATATAATAAATAATCATACACTTATCAATCTTATTTTTTTGATAAACCCGATGTTTTACAAACAGTCGCTAAAATGGCTTGTACTAGTGATTTCAACACCTATAAAATCTCGAGTAAGTCATAAATTAAATTTAATTGACGGTGGGTCGAACGTGAGAAACACAATCACAACTTCTGGCAAACTAAGCTACCCTTTTTTGTGTTTGCAAGAAATCGAGCGGTTATTTAATACATTTATGGTACAGCTGTTTGAGAAGCAGCGTGAGTACCACAAACACTATAAATAGTGGAAATATTGTCAATGAAGTCCACGTTTTATACTCTTACAAACACGTAACAGAAGTCCAAGAGATGTTGATTGTGGTTGACCTTTCTTACGGGCATGCGTGCTAATAGATTATCTATAGAAGTTCTCAATCCGGGACAAGTAAACGGAACAAGAAAAAGAGTAGAAAAGTGTGACTGAATTTACGACTAAACATTATGTACGTAATATTATATTTTAGATCCGTATTTTTATTTTATACCTTGGTAATAAAATATTGAACTATTTTTACCTTGTAACATATTTAAACGTACAAACATTTACATTGTTATGAAATGGGTCAAGTCTTTCAGCATGGACGTTGGAAATTTTGTTGAACTGTTGTACATTTATTATAGTTATTATGTTAGAATAGTACTAGGGTGGTTATAATTTTCGAGAAATTGTTATGCAGACATTATTTTAATATCTGTGATCTTCAGAATCCAACTTAAGTAGTGGTGATTATTTTAACAGGATTATGCCTTTTATTAATAGATTAAATAAGTATTCACATTTTCAAAGAATTTGAATTTTCTGCAGCCTCATGTAGTCATTTTAAATACATAATTTTATAAATGGTAGAGCCACGCTGTAGTTATATTAGAGTTATACGAAGGCGCCGAACGATGGTATGTCGGAACCACGATTTTCTATTTCGAACGAACCTACAGTGTCCGGATCTAGCTTTTTTAATGCAATGCATAAAATTACACAGTCCATAAGATCATTAAATTTAAGATTTTTGAGAGCGGCTACCGACGTTGCTAATATATCTAAAAATTGTTCGAAATAATGAATATTTGCGGACGCCTAAGCTGTGCTGTGTGACCTATTTGGAAGCCATCCGGGACCTTTGCGAGACGGACTCAATTCTTTTTTGGCGCCGCACTGGCAGTTGGCCGTATTACAGGCGCTAAGCTTTCCACGGCTGGACGCGCTAGCAGATATAAAAAGTGCTATCCCAGCCTGGAGAATAAGAATTGAGGAACGTATTGCAAAGGCGAGAGCAGACTGATATGCTTCAGGTCAGGCAATAACAGGCCAAGGATTATGCGCATAGTCAGGATGGCGTTAGCTGGGACAAATGTCAGTTTGTCCCAGCCGAATATAACGCAAAAACTGACGGAGAACATAGATGATCTGCAGCAGAGGATCTATGCTTGAGGAAAGTGAATTCGGCGATATACCGAGGGCTCGACACGGTTAAACCAGAATCATTTCTTCTAGCTTTATTTCGAGGCTATATGAATCGTTGGGGCGACCAATGATAAGTGGAACGGGCCCAGCACTGAATTAGGTTGACACTCTCGCATTCTAGTGCGGCTTGTGGTCAGAGCCCGTAAATCACAACGAAGGCCCTTGGACGAAATATGTGGCGATTCAGTGTGCGAGTATTACGCCCATGGACTCCGTTATCATAACAACGGCTGACGTATCTGAGGTGGTCCGTACTGCCCCGAACTGGAAAAGTCCGGGGCTCAACGGGCTGCATCACTACTGGCTGAAGGAGTTCGTGGTGTGTCACGCTGTGTTCGCCCAACAGTTTCAAGAGGCTCTTAACCAGAATTCGCTCCCGAGCCTCTTCACTACTGGAATCACTCATTTGGTTCCTAAAGACCAGGGTACCACAGATCCGAGCAAATACCGCCCATTACGTGTTTACCGACCTTATACAAGACATTTAAATCTATTTTGAGTGCGAGAATCACTCGTCACCTGGACTCAAATCATCTAGGTGAGCGGATGACTGGAAGATACCCCTTCTTATCCTTATGCGGCTTTCCGCAGCCGCATAAGCATAAGAAGCATAGGAAGGGGTATCTTCCAGTGCGTTTGTTTGAGTCCAATATGGTTCTACCTCTCTTTGAACCCTCTCAGTACTTTACTGGAGGGCTCCGGGAGGGGATTTTAGCTTCGGAAAGGAGGTACAAAAGTGACCCTCCTTTTCTATATGGATGACCTCAAGTTATTCGCCTCCAGTCGCTCCCATCTTGTGGAATTGCTAAACATCACTTGTAATTTAACCAATTCTATTAGAATAGAGCTGGGAACGGATAAGTGCGCGGTCATCCATGTTGAAAGAAGAAGGATTTCTAGCTCTGAGGGCATAGATTTATCTATAACCGTCAACTTAAAGATCTTTTCCGAGGCTGAAACGTAAAAAACGTAAGGTATGTCACGGAACATCGGTATCGATGAGGCTGGTATGAAACAGTCAGTTAGCGACGTGTTTTACGCACGCTTGACAAAAGTGCTTAACAGCCTTTTTTTATCCGGTGTGAATGAGACACACGAATATTGTCCGTGGAGTTTTTATATGTTTTGTTTTTATCCTTTAATATGTATGTATAAATAATATATATATATATATATATATATATATATATATATATATATATATATATATATATATATATATATATATATATATACAATATATAGATATTATTATGTTTTTATTCTTTAGTATGTCCGTGGAGTTTTTATATGTTTTGGATAACCATAATCTTTGAATTAGAATTTTAGGTTTTATAGTAAGTGGACTAAGAAGACCTAGAGGGTCGAACACCTTACATGAATCGGAAAGGATTGATCTTTTAGTTGGATTTACATTTTGAATATTATAGTTAGTGGGGAAATTTACAAAATCTTTGTTAGGATTCCAACCGACACCTAAAATGTGAGAAGAACAGAATTTGAGTATTTGGTTATAAGTCCATACTTTACTTTTCCTCTGGAACTCTGCGAATAACTGTGCTTTATACACAACTTACAGACTGCACACACAAACAAAAATCTAACTTACTTATCTATACGTCAGAAAATAAAAAATAGGCGGTAATCGATTTCGGAGACAAATTAAAAGAAAAACATGCCATAACTTATTGAGCCATGGTTATAATACTCGCGTTAAAGTCGCCTACCGACCGATTAAAATTTATATAAGGAACTATACAAAAACAGTGAAGCGATATGTGTGTTAAAATCATTGGATAGGTTCTTT